TGTAAAATATTTAAAATATCCAATTACTTTATCATAATTCAATCAACCATCACATTTTCTTTTATTCACTTTTTTTTTTGTTGACTATGAAAAAAAAGAAAATCCATGTTTTTCTTTTATTCATAGATGCAAAGGATGAAATAAAGGGGCATACGTCTATCATTTCACCTTAAATTATTTAATTTTTTTCCCCCACAAGCCCTTGTTTCATTGTCTTTTGTACATTTCTTGCTTTACCTTTTACTTCCTTATGAACCTTGGTTGTGTTAAGTCCACGTCTGTACGGGATGGCCCCAGTACGAGAAGAACAACTGTGAACCAAACCTGGAACTTGAAGCTCTTTGTGGCTGAGAACCTGCAAGACTTCTGTCACTCTGAGCCCAGCACTGCCTTATAATACCTGTAACCCGAATAAATTCCAAATTTGTGAACTGACCATTTCTCGGTTTTGTTCTCAGGCTTCCAACAAAAGAATCGGGTTAACAAACAAGTCTGTATACCACACAGGATAGAGCTGCCCCTAAGGTGGGCCAGGATGTGGCCTAGTGCCCACAACCAATGCCGGGGAGCCAAGACAGACAGTATATACAGCCGCAACTAGTTGGGAAGTGGAAGGAGGCATAACCCTAGTGACGTGGCCACCACAGTGGACCAACCATCCTGGACCCCTCACCCCAGTAGTGCCAAGAAAACATGAGTTGTAGGGAGCCATCTCTGTATGTGTCTGTGTATGTTTCTGCGTTTGAGGAATTCCAGAAAGTTTCCTTGAATCTCAACCGCAATGGCTCCTTGTTGATGTTTCTGAGTGGATGATAAAAACTCTCCTTTACATTCCTCTTAACCCTTTTGAAAGTTGTCCTGGACAATATCGGTTAAAAAAAAAGCACGTTCACGTGCACTAGCTCAGGGTTTTTAAACCGCTGACTCAGCGTGTCCTGCTGAAAGATGTGTTTAACAAAACAAACCCAAATCCAAACTTGGGCTTGTGAGTTGTGAGGTGATGTATTTGTGACCAAAAGGAAAAGCAAAATGTGAGAATGTAGTCCGGAAAACAACTTAAAAGTCTAATAAGTCTAATAAATATGTTTTGCTATATGTGAACAGCACTGGTCTTCATAGATTAGATTATGCAATGATTTGTGACTGATTGAAAATAAGATTACCACTGCACATACATGGTTTATATAGTTATAAACCCCCGGCACCAGCCTTTGAATACAAAAAGCATTTAAGAGCACAGAGGAACCGAAGAAAGGCTGTTCCTGAAATGACTTTAACAGATTTTTCACTAGACCATAGGTTAATTATGAAATCATCTCCAGATGGTATTAATGGGTAAATTATGTGTTGATATAACGTTTCTTGTTTTCCCAAGATAATGTATTTATACATTTAGTTAATTTAGTAAAGGAAAATTCATTCTATCACCAACAGAGGGAAACTACCACAAAGATTATTTTTGGCCTTAGCAGAGCTGCTTAAACTCTTATTTTTTTACAAAGACATAATTACACATGCATGCACTGACTTTAAACTCAACTTTAAATGTACCACATTCATGAACGTTATTGTCTTGTGATAACATGTCATTCTTACAGGAATATATCAGGCTTGCATTATTTTTTCGAGATAACTGCACATTTAAGACAGAATATTGAGATAGTGGCATAAAATGAAATGATTCTCCTTCTGTTGTTTGGATGTAAATCAGTAGACTGGACAAAACTTGAATAAAGTAAAAAAGTGTTTGTGACCAACATCAAACAGGTTTTTGAACAATGAGATTTTCAAAACTTGATAAGTCTAAGAATTGTTATTTATCTTCTTCCTTTATTTCACTTTGTGCCCATTATCTCATACATTTCATAACTTTATTTTCATTTGTGAAATGAACAAATGCAATATTCTAGAATTCATTTAGCATTTCATGATTAGAAATAGGTAATACTTGCTGTTGGATATCCAGAATGTAAACAATCAGCAAGCATGGCATCAGAAGAAGGGGTCAGTATTTTGTTGATCCCGACAAAAACACCCAAAAGAGTTTTTTTCGTGTACAAGATCACTCAAAGTGCTTTCCAAAGAGTTTAAATGCAGAAAACAAAGATAAAGAAAATAAGTAAAAATAAGTTCAATAAAATTAAACAATCATTTATTAGATAGATTAAAAGTGAAAAGTGCGCATGAAATATGCTAAGTTCAGTTGTCATATGCACAGTTAAACAGAACAGTTTACAGCCTGGATTTAAACATCGTCAGAGTTGAGGCCGGTCTCACCCATTCAGGAAGACTTTTCCAGATTTTAGGAGCATAAAACTGAGATGAAGCCTCACCTTCTTTGGTGGTCTTGTGTGGTTCTAACTCTGGGCACCAGCAGGAGACCAGAACCTGAGGTTCTCGGAGTCTGCACTGGTTCCTACCGCTCTAACATATCAGAAATGGACTTTGGTGCTTGACCATGAAGAGATTTACAAACAAGAGATTCATACACGAGCAGCGCACTGTTAAAGTCTATTCTCTGAGTGACAGGAAGCTAGTGCAGAGAATTCAGCGCTGGACTGACATGGTTGTATTTCCTGGTTCTGGTCAGAACTCTAGCAGCAGCATTCTGGTTTAGACATTATTCCTCTGATTTTGGCAATGTTTTTAACATGGTAAAAGGCTGCTGCTGTTACTTATTTAATAAAGTTCAGGTTTGAGTCCAGTATTATCCCAAGACCTGGTTTTTGACCAGGGTTTTTGTTCCAGAGAAGGTGACTGTTGACACTTTCTCTTTGTTTTTGTGGGCCACAGGCAAATATTTCAGTTTTGTCTGGGTTTAACTGGAGAAAGTTGTTCTGCATCCAGAAACTGATCTGTTCAACACAGTGACACATTAAATCAAAAGGCCCATCTTCTCCTGCTGTCATCTACACATAGATCTGAGCGTCGTCAGCATAGTTGTGGTAGGACACATTGTGTTTTCTTATTAGCTGGCCTAGTGGAAGCATGTACAGATTAAACAATAGGGGTCCCAGGATTGGCCCCTGGTGAGTACCTCAAGTCAGACCCATTCGTTCTGAGGCACAGTTCCCAGTTGTCAATCCGTACCAGACAGTCCCACCCAGTCTTCAAACCTCTGTAATAAAATCAAATGGTCAACTGTATCAAAGGTAGTACTCAAGTCCAGCAGAACTAGGACCGAGACTTTGCCTGCGTCTGAATTCGGGCAGTGATATTGTAGATGGAATGTGAGACCTCAAGAACATAGTGAAAAACTGATGATTGCTTCTCACTTGTTTTACCAATGACAGAGATAATGATGGAAAACAATTAAACATTGGATACAAAGCCTATATCTCCCTACTGCAATACTACAGCTCATGTATGAATCAATCTGGAAATGTACTTGCTGTTTCAGCGATCATTCACATAAGCAACGTTAATTTTGATATCAAAACTAATTTGCAAATGTCATAAAACGATAGGAATCAGTGATTTCAAACTGCTGATAGGAGTGAGTGTGATGGTTGTGTGTCTTATTTGTCTCTGTGTTACCCTATGATGGACTGGTGACCTGTCCAGGGTGCAGCCTGCCTCTCACACAATGACAGCTGTAATAAGCTCCAGTCCAGCTGAAATGGATGTAAACAAAAAAAAACAATAGGGGTTAAGACTGAAATGAATCCCTTCTATATCACAACCATGGGCACGCTTTTGAACAATTCACATGTAGCTGCTCTTACTGCCACAAGGGGTCGAAATTTAAGCACTTCCACCTGCATGTACAAATGGCCCTTGGGAATGTATTTGGGTGGATGTTAGTCTATAGCCTTTAAAAATCGAACACACATACACAAACACACACACCCCACTGTGCAACTTTATTGTCTCCACCACCATCATTAATCACAGTAGCCTGTGTGTCACTTAAAAATGTTGTTATTGACCAACCAACATGGGCTGTATCATTAATAACAAACAGCCCTCCATTACAGCTGTGTGTTTTGCTCTGGTAAATAAACATATACCATTTCACAATATAGTGGCAGATAAAGGAAATTGGCATATAATGACATTTTTTAAAATGCTTAATTATGTCACTGCTCATTGTGATTGGTCAGCTCAGAATCCCAGGGCTGGGGAATGCTGTCAAACTAAACAGGGCAATATGAAAATATGCTTTGTAAATAAAAAGAAAACATGAAATGAGGAATACTGTGGTTTGACGAAGTGACAGCTGTGGTTCAGGTGTCAGAGCTTGCCAATAGTGGCTGGTTGGTGGTTCAATCCTTGACAACATATCAATGTGTCTTTAGGCAAGACACTGAAACCACAGATGCCTCAAATAGAGTATGGTATACTGTGTCTTGTTTGTGCTGGTGTCAAGCTTCGCTAAATGCAAGAGTTTAATCAGGAAGGGCATCTGGCTTAAAATTTCCTGCAAAACTTGCCATGCAGGCCAAATGCAGTAGTGAGGCTCGATAGGAAAAGGTGAAAGACAAACAACACCAACTTAGGTTTGACTACTTGAATAAATATATTATCATCGTTGCTGTTTGATGTGAGATATTATTTTCATTCTGAAAGATTATACATTTGAATTTATATAAAGGTGAATAAAATGTACTCTGTTATTTTGCAGATGAATAAAAAGTCAATTAATATGGCTGACAAATACTACTAACACATAATGATGACAGATACACAGATTACTCATTTTGTCTGAAATATATACATACCGCTTATGAAAATATGTTTTTGAAACATCAAGTTCCTTATAGGTAAACAGTATTACAACAAATAAGTTTGGGCCTTTCAGGGACAACTGTTCATTCTGATGTCCCCAAATAGTTTTTACTGGCCCCGCTGTTCAGTGTCTGCATGATGGAAGCAGGGGTTCTCCCCTTACAGGTAAAAGATCGTCCTCAGGTTGTTTCCCCATTTGATGGGAACAGTCGTCAAGGAACTTATAAAAAACACTAGTGACACTAGTGTCTCTCCGACAGGATATGTGATCATAAGTGCATGGACTTGACCTGATAATCATCAATAGTGGAACATGGTGCAGCACTTGGGGCCTCTCAATGTTCTGCTCCATTGCAGGCGACCAGTAGTCAACAGTCAGTCTCTCTGCCAAAGGGCAGTCAATTTCTATTGGTCGAGTGGCAAGATGGAAGCCTCGTGCAAGCTTTTACTCGCAAGTCGAAACACTGCTGATCTTCGCAGTGTTGTCAGTCCAGGGTTGAAGGTTCTGCAAGGCATATAAAGAGCTGTTCTGCAGGCACAGTGGATCAGGCGTTACTGGTTGGTTGATGGTTTTCTGGAAGGCCTCTTGCTGCAGCTGCATGAGGATCCGGTTGGCCTGCTGCCGCTCCGCCTCGCGCTCCTCAGCTGTCTGTCGTCTGCAGCCGCAAAGTCAACACATTCAACAAAACATGCAACAACTGTCTAACTCACTGACTAAATAGCCATAGGCATGAAAATAGCTACAGTTACTGTTTCATGGTTCTGTGTGAATTAAAGCAATTATATAACAGAGCAGGTTCATGATTATCAACCTCTGTAAAAAGACAGCTATTCACATCATTTCTTTTAAAGATTTTTGTAGAGCAGTGATGGCTGGCATTTGGTGATTCTGGAGGTCAGTGATCACTATCTAACCTCCTCAAGGTGTTGTGGGCCCAACTAGATAAAACAGATGAAATGAGGCTCCTACCTGATAACCCTAATGACATGTTGGTCAGCACAGCTCACTAGTCAGTATAAGGATCAAACTATTGGAAGATTAAATGTTGAATTTAGGGACTTATTCAATGAGTCTTGTCCATTTGTTTGTAGCACAAGTTTCTCGTGTTTATTATGAATTGTCCTGTTGGTCTGTCAGTAGTATGAAAATAATTAAAAAACGTTTCGCTCAGAAAAAGGGTAAATTTGAAATACAAACAATTCCAAACCGTTTATCTTTTGCAGAAAATAATCAGGCTTTTGTTAATATACTGTAGCAGATTAAAATGATATATGTGTATAATGATATAAGATGAGGTCCAGTTGAATGGAACCTCCATTTTAGAAGCAGAGCATTGTGGGTAATCTGCTGGCTGCGCACCAATAGATTTAATTGTTAAAGGTATCTCTGAGCACAATGATGATCACTTCTTGAAGAAAAAAAATGTATATGTATATATGTTTTGATACATGTCGAGGTACAGCAAACTTTGTGAATATATGACAGATGTGTTTTTTCCCCGATTAATTTTCACATCATTTAGCGTAAATTACATGACAGCCTTGGGGTGAGAGAATGTGTAAAAACAGTCAAATTTCCTCCTAAACTTCAACTGCTATTGTGGCAAAACTATTCCCCTTAAGAGTTCCATCCTCCCCGACCCGTTAAGGCATAGAGTAGGGGATTTAAAAAAATAATAATAATGGGGAATGCATTTAGGTTTTGGCGACTTACGCAAAATAGCGTTAGAGACACAGCACACCATTTTCAACACGTTATTCAAAACGTTTTAGTGAATTTTTAGACAAATTTTTCGGGCCCGGTTAACGCCGAAATACTTACGGAAACGGGAGAATAGTAAAAAAAAAAAAAAAAAATACAACACATTAGCATACATTGGCCATGTTTTCTTTCCAATGCTGGTGCTCAATTGATGGAAATATGTTTCTTAATTGGACCCAATTAAAATCCTTCATCTGTATTCGTAATGTGTCTTGGTACGTGATATTTGAAAACAATTCAAGAGTAGCCGTCGTTAGGACGAAAGCGAGTTTTACCTCCATTTCGTTCGTCTGTTTTGGAACCAGGTTTTGACCTGAGCGTCGGTCATCTTCAGGGTCTTCGCCAGCGTGGCTCGCTCCGCGGAGGCCAGGTACTTCTGCCGGTGGAACCGCTTCTCCAGCTCGCATATCTGCAGCCGAGTGAAAGACGTCCGGGGCTTTTTCTTCTTCGGTGGTGTTCGGTTTTGGTACGGGTGACCTACACGGCGTGTCACAGTGAGGGGTGAGAGGGACACTGGACCGAGCAGAAAAAAGGCGGGAAGACCCAACAGGACAGGACAGGATGAGACAGGAGAGGGAAGCAGGGGTAGAATTGAATAGAATAAGCGAAAGCAGCAGCAGCTTGTGGGCTTCAAGACAGTACACCAAAAACGGCTAAATATGACCTATCTTAAAGATAATGATAGAATATTAGGTTATGTAGTTGAATCCAACGTATGTAATATTGCGTCTTAATAATTAGAACCTTAATGGTTTCATTTCAAAATGATATGTCCGTGTTTTATCGTGTTTTTTTTTTTTACGGGTTATAAATTATTTTCTCCTGTGATTCACTTGAGAAGAAGCTCGCTTCTTTCCGATGTATAGAAAATTCAGTAGATTAAAAAATACATCGGTTTACATCGGTGTGCTTCTCACATTAGGTTTTTAAAAATGTCTTTCCAATTAGAATATGACAGGATTTGTTTTTCAGGAAACAAGCGTGGAAGCTTGTAAGTAACCAGTGCTTCTTTCACTGACATTTAAGCCAGTACCTTATACTGATTCTCAACATTAACACATTATTTATTTGTTAAACGTTGACGTTACAGTGTAGTTTAATTCATTTGTGAGATGTAGAAATAAAGTTATAGCCTATAGTTATAAAGGGGTTATAGCCCTACAATTCTAACAGACACTTCTGGGTATAAATTTATTGTAAAATGGACACCTTTTGTGTTTTATCAGTGCAAATTAAAATGATCAATTAAACGCGTTGTTTTCTTCTTCTGAGGAGGATAAAGTTTCAGAAATTGATTCTCGTGTTTATGTGAAAATACACTAGTGTCGTGTGTTTTGTTGCTTCTACACAATTTTTTCAGTTGATGATGATTCTGTTAAGTAAAATTTCAGAATTTCAGCTGCAGAGCCCTGGCAGGGGCCGTTTAAAAAAGAAGCCCCCTTCTTGCTTTTCCAAATTAATTGCATTCATTACTATTTATTGTATGTTATACCCAACTTCAATGCCATCAAATAAGATTTAAAAAAATATAATCAACATTTATTTGCTTATGTAGGAATGAATTTCGATTCCAATTATTTTTAACAGTCTGAGTAACTGGATGAAATTACGATGATTTCAAACATTTATAATTATTTATAATAAACTCAACATCATGACACACATGATTTATAAGAATAGGGGATATGCGTTTACATGATTATCACAATGTAAAGATATTGCTGCGATCGTGATGAGGTCAACATGTCGGAATGCGAAGAGAAGAAACAGAAAGGAAGACTTCAGCAGACAGTTTCCACTGCTCAAATTCTCCAACCACAGACAGTAAAAAAAAACAAAAAAACAACAAAAAAAACATTTTATGGTAGGTTAATAATCTGTGAAACATAAAAAAACAAACATTTTTATCACAATTATTATTATATACAAAAATGAATGTTATCATCTTAATTTTCTTATTCAATCTTTGGCAATTGTAAACTGATTTTTTTTACTGATTTTACCCCTCGACACTAATTAGACAACAATAAATAAATACAATATTCTAGTCAATCGAAAAATGAAAATATTTACATAGGATCTGTCAACGCTATATATAAACAAATATTTAATCAACTGGTTAGAAAAGCTTCCCGTTAATTATATCTTTATATTTCCGAAATAGTCATTTGATATTTTTAAATTTACTTTCAACTGACGAATTTAAAGGCACTGCAGACTTTATTCGATGCATTATTATTATTATTATTATTATTATTATTATTATTATTATTATTATTATTATTATTATTATTATTAT